ACGGCGCGGAGGATGTGCTGATTGTGGTGCCCGGACGTCCCAGCGCTGTGGTGGCGGTGAGGCTCTGTCCCCTTTCACCATCTCTGCCGGCATCATCATTAGGACTCACCATTGGGACCATATTTGTTAGCTCTATAGTGAAGGTAATTATGATGAGGATAATCATTTTGATGATCATTTTTGTTTTCATAGTGAAGTAGGTGTCGTGACAGTGAATACACCGTCACGACACTCACTTCACTATCGTCACCATACGCACCCAGAAATCCCTACCAAGCAACCACCACTCCCACCAGCCAGCGCAATCACCATTCCCTTGACAATCAACACAAAGCACCACCGCCAATTACTCGCCCTCCTCCCTCTCCCTTCACAAATTCACAATTGAATTAAAAAACTCAAAAAGAAGGAAGGGCGAGATTAACACTTGCAAAAATTCCCACTGCAATTATCGCTTTACCTGGGATAAACTCGACGCACCGGAAGTGGCTAAGGAAGGGCGGGTCCTGATGTGAGCGAGATGGTTGCCAGAGCTGTCGTGGGGAGGAAAAGAGGGTAGGTGGGAAGGAGGTGAGGATAAAGGAGAGAGGGAGAGAGAGCGACGTAAGGAGGGAGGAAGGGAGAGATAGAGCGACGTAAGGAGGGAGGGGAGGGAGGGAGGGAGGGAGGGAGGGAGGGAGGGAGGGAGGGAGGGAGAGAGAGAGAGAGAGAGAGAGAGAGAGAGAGAGAGAGAGAGAGAGAGAGAGAGAGAGAGAGAGAGAGAGAGAGAGAGAGAGAGAGAGAGAGAGAGAGAGAGAGAGAGAGAGAGAGAGAGAGAGAGAGAGAGAGAGAGAGGGAGAGAGAGAGAGAGAGAGAGAGAGAGAGAGAGAGAGAGAGAGAGAGAGAGAGAGAGAGAGAGAGAGAGAGAAGGAAAGAAGAAAGTAGATAAGCCGAAAGGTTGGAGGTAAGGTAACATGGCTACAAGGAGATAGAGGGTAAGGAATAGAGAATGAAGAAAACAGAACGAAAGAAGAAAGAGAGAAAGATCAGACATGCATCTGCAATTTATTGATATAAACTGCACAACAAACATAACGATCAGAATAAAAAAATGAGGTGCCTCGGGAGTGAAACAAAAGCAACTAAAAAATAATAACAAAAGCAACTAAAAAATAATAACAAAAGCAACTAAAAAATAATAACAAAACAACAGCAAAAAAGAACAAATGTAACGCAAACATGAACAGGATCCCGGGATTTGTTCCAAGGTCGTCGTTATGACAGGCACGAGTGAACTTTTGGTGCTGTCAGTCAGAACTTCTCAAACTATCTTCTTGTCATGCGGAGAGATAACCTAGAAATCTATTTAGATTTTGACGTTCCGGAATAATATACATCTAGCTGAAATTATTGGTGGATTTCCTTTAGTATTTATTTCCTTTGTTCATAACTGTTCGTAAGCGTTGCCATATAGGGTTTCGTCTAATACGTTCAAGATCATCTGAAGAAACCTGCAAGTTGCATGTTGCAGAGATATGTTCTCCAAGGATATTCTAATGCAACATCTATCGGAGTGATGCAACGACCTGTTTTTCTCCTGTGTTGCTGCGTTGCAACGGCGTAAGCTGAAGATCTTAAACTGATGAATGTTAAAATAATTGTTTGAAAATACGCAAAAACTTGAATGTGCGAAGTAGCTCAACAAGGTCTATACTTATATAGACCTCTCTCTCTCTCTCTCTCTCTCTCTCTCTCTCTCTCTCTCTCTCTCTCTCTCTCTCTCTCTCTCTCTCTCTCTCTCTCTCTCTCCTCTCCCTCTCCCTCTCCCTCTCCCTCTCCCTCTCCCTCTCTCCCCCCCCCCCCCTCTCTCTCTCTCTCTCTCTCTCTCTCTCTCTCTCTCTCTCTCTCTCTCTCTCTCTCTCTCTCTCTCTCTCTCTCTCTCTCTCTCTCTCTCTCTCTCTCTCTCTCTCACACACACACACACACACACACACAAGTACACTTATAGACACACCTAAATAAACAGTGGATCTGCGCGTGTAGATAACCTATTTATATATTCATCTCATCAATCAAAACCATCGAGAGGGAACATGACTGGCGTGGAGAACGTTGGTGAGCTTCTGCCTCTATGGCGTGTAAAGTATATGTACAAAAAAGGCCCCTAAATACGCCACGGTGAACAAAAATAACAAACAGCAACAACAAACCATGTTCATGAACAAGAATTCTTCACAGCCCTTGTTCTTGTTCTTATTTTCTACATGTCTGAGGATACATCCTTTTCCCTTTTATTTATAACTGGATCTGACTCCGTGATATTTTCTTACTGACCTGCTTCTGGTTCAATTCGCGTAAATAAACGGGTCTTAGACTTGCATAAGATGTCGCAATAATATGCTTTGGGATAGAACTTTCTGCTGTATGAATCTCATAATAGTTCTGAACCTTCGCCAAAACCCAGCTATTATAATCTGAACAAAATCTAAAGAGAAAAATGAATTATGAAAAATACACGTACCGGCTATGCCCACGATGATGAAGATGATGCTGGCGACGGCAGCGAAGACGGTGGCGGGCCGAGGGTAGTGGACCAGCAGCTGAGATCCCTGGCCCGAGGAGCCGTTAATGGTGCCGTCGCTGTCGCTGCTGCCGAAGGCTTCGAGGCTGTGGTTGCTCAAGCTCTTCTCCGACACGAGGGCGGCGGCCGAGGATTCCATGGCGGCGAGGGCGCAGGGGGCGTTGTTGGCCTACCTAGTTTGTTTTCCCTTTCGAGGGGAAGGAGGCTGCTCGGGCTGATTTTCTAAACGAGTCTTCCAGTTTTATCAGTAAATATGCTTGTCACTTGCAATGCTTGGAAAGATAACGCCTTGGGAAGGCGACCGAATCTACTGATAACAGTAATTCCTCGCACACTTGTGTCGATGACGCAGGGTGCTATTCAGTCACACACACACAAACACGAAAACAACACAATCGCACAAACGATGACAGAGCAAACAAACACAAGTGATCTCTCTGCGCTGTGTTTGCGGTGCTGAAGTATGCGCGCGCGTGTGCACTACCGCCTTCTCTCTCACGTTTCTCGCGCCGTACTGACTGCCCGAACTGACTGCCCGTCCTCACCTCGCGCGGCTTCACACGGCTCTGTCCTTGCGCTACGTGCCCTGCAGTGCCCCGGGCCCCGCGTGCTCGGTGCCCGGTCAGTGCCACGCTCGCTCGCGGTTGGCTGCAGCAGTTCGGATCTTGTTTTCATTTTTTCCCCAAGTATGTGTTATTTGTTGATTAATTCACATATTCGACGTGATGTGTAAAGCGTTTGAAATGTAAATTAAAGGATATATTGAGATATTTCTGGCGAGCGCAACTATGCTTATCTCGGGATGGTTGAGGATGCGAATTGGCTCCGCCCACCCTCGCTTCTGATTGGCTGGCTGGGAGAACTACCCCCCCCACTCATCACCCCCGCCGATTTGACCGCGCTTGAAGATGAACGAAAAAATATCAAATTACTACGGTCATACTAATTAAGTTCTCATTCTGCATTATCCTACGAATGATGGAGGCATGAATGGGCAGTGAAGGGTCTAAGTAATTAGCCGCCATTTCTCACTCGCTTCCAGTACTCAGAAACTGTCCGTGAGCAGCGTGAGAATCGAGTGTTAGTTAGCAGGAAATAATAATAATGATCTTATGATTACTATGTGTATGATATCGTCATCATCGTCGTGTGTGTGTGAGAGAGAGAGAGTGTGTGTAGGTGAGTAAGTATTCTGTGTGTAATTATCATGATTATTATGGCTTACGTTGTGACAGTAATTTTGGTAATATATTTTCACTGTAATTACTATTATGCTCACTAATATCAACATTGCTAGTGTCATTATGATCATAATGCTCCTTCCTAGTTTCAATATTGTTTGGACTATAATCATACGTTCAGATATCACTCTTATCATTGTAATATTATAAAAGAAATTCCTAATAAAAAAGAGCAAAACAAAACAATATATTTAGTATCTTTAATCTTTATTATTCATTTATTTATCTATTTTCATATATCTAATTGTAACTTAACCATTTATCTATTAAACTATAGATTTATCGGCGTGTTAACCCAGTGCCATGAAATGCGTTATAATATTCGTTTCATATAAAAAAGTAAAAATGTAACAGTACCCTGTTCCCTAAAATGTACCCATAAACATCATAAAAATAAAGCAGGAACGAAGCCCAGTTTCTTTTTAATCCGTGAAATAAATCTGGTAGATATACAGAAAGCTGCGTGGGAGAAGTCTGACTCACGTACGTTTTCAAAATGTTTTGACTTTGGGCGGGAGTTTTAGTAGCGAGCTCGAAATGAAATCTGAGAGCGTGTTTGAATATCAGTTTCCGAATGGCGCACATCAGCGGTTACGCACGAAGACAAACACGCATCGGCAAGCGCACTCTCGGTTCGTACAACCAAAAAAAGGCTATCAGTTACGAACATATATTCCTTGAAATAAAAATATTCAATTTTTAGAAATTTCCAGATCACGTTAACAACACATATAAAGCTCAATGAATACTCACAGGGTATAAAAACACTCAAGACCTGAATAAGTAATTGTAGTTATTGAAGTTTGGGGAGGGGGTTAAGTGCCCTCTCTTCTCACAGACACATATTCACTCTCTGCACTATCGTGTTTTCTTAAGCAAGGGATTCAAGAATAACATCTTGTGTCCATTGAACTTAAAGAAGCGCTGTTGCCAGGCACCAACGAACAAGGAGAGAGAAGAGTAAAAGATAATATAATATTTTTATATTTGATTTGGTATTCTGCCAATACAAAATAATATGTTTGAAACTTAAAATGTTCATTTACATTTTTTGAATGGCAAAATATGAAAACTGTGTTGGCAGAACTCGCCCGACAAAAAATATAGGTTAGGTGAGCTGTTCATAAACTCATTATATTGCTATCATATATATTGTATATCGCTATTTTTGTACATATTAATTATGACTGAATGGTTTA